CAACCTACCTGGGTTTTCTCCCTCACTTGTGATATACCATAGTTTGACTCCTTTATCACAGCAAGCTGGGATAACTCAGATAATTTTATTAGGATCTGCAGGTGTTGATACATTGATAATTTTCATTCCTGTTTGTTGCAAAAAAATTCAGCCACTCAATTGAAATGCCCTACTTGTTACATCATGTTTATTTTAACAGAAGCACATAATGCTAATTTTAATAGCATGAACATGAAAATTTAACCCCTCTTTTCAAGTCATGTTAAAAAGATCTGTTATTTACAAAGATGATTTTCAGGTAAAGTGATATAAATAAATAAAAATATTGCGACTATTTTTAGGTAACACAGATTATGGACTACTCAAAACATAACTACACTAGAAATTTTAAAAGATCCAGGATAATTACTGTTTCTTCCCCTAAAATATTTCAATAATGATAAAATTGAGGAAAACACAGTGTGAATAAATAATAAAATGCATTCTGACCCTTAAATACCTACGTATTATTAATACAACAAATTCCACTGGTCTACAGATGACCAGTGGAAAGCAGGATAGCGCCATCTGTCGGCAGAAATAGTAACAAAAAAAATCAAGTTAATAGAACTATTAACTTCATTTTTTCCTGACCTCAAACAACTTTTTATCAATTTCTGCTTAGGAAATGTCCTCTTTGTAGCTACTAATACCAGAACTGTTAAAAGAATTTATAAGGTAACCCATATATTAGGGTAAGTATCTTGTAAACAGAATACATAAATACAAGAAAGAACTTCTTTGGTGTTTCGGCCACACTAGAAATGAGATCCTGTAAGCTGCACAACTCTACGGTTATCTCTTCGCATTATTAACAGATTGCTTACTATATATTCAGTTATCAGCTGTATTTAAAAAGCACACTACAAATTTCTGAAATTTTCTGTTAATCAATTTCTATAAAATTTTCAACGTCAAACAGAAATTATCAATGCATCCTTATGATGTTGAGCTGCTCAGTCATTGCTTACTTCAAGGGAGGAAAAGGTACTTTTCTGTTATTGAGACCAGTTTCAGAATTATATGTGTGAATGTACGTGTGAATTATATGTGCACATATACATACATACATATTCTCAATCCAGTCCTGATAACAGAAAAGTACTAGAAATGTCCTTATCTGTAAATTAACTGAAAAAATTTTTCTTCAAATGCTTTTGGATCTATTGAAGTTTCAGAGGAATTCATAACTCAGCATTTGTCTTTTGTAGAATTCTAATACATTTTAATATAGGTTTCATATATTAAATTTCTGCCAAAACTCGAGACTCAACCATAGCATTAGTCATTAGTCAAAAACTTTTCTACATGTTTTGAGAGTCAAAGGCAATTTTGAAAACTGTTACCAACACCAAAATGATGCATTTACTGCTCATTGCAATATTTCCAAATCCTACGTGTATCAGATACAGTACAAACTCTTCGGACGTCCATAATCCAGAATGATCTATAATCTGGACCTCAAAGCTCAAACTCAAAACAAGTCACATATAATCTGGACCTCAAAGCTACAAACTTTCTGTGCATGCGTTTACGCCTGCGCGTTTAATGTATAACGGATGGTATAAGCTAGGCTAAATTAATCTAATTATCTATGTCAGTTAATGTTGCAGATTGTGCATTGTTCCTTAATCTTCTAATGGATCCGGCTTATTATTTTTTGCCAGACTGTTAGAGCAATTTTATAAAAGTAAGCTTGAACTTTCGATTATGTCAAAAAGAGTTTCCGATTCTGGAGCTGCCAAAGGATCTACAAAGCGAAAGTATGTTTCGATGTCCATCAAACAAAAAGTGGAATTGCTGCAAAAAATGGATAAAGGCATACAGAAAGTGACAGAGAGGTTAGCGTAAACGAAAAAATTTCGATTGACAAGTTAGTCGGTATTCTCAGCACAGCTAATTACAGGACTTAAACAGCAGAACTTTGTAATTGAACAAGAAATTATGTCTGTTCATAGAATTAAAGAGAAAGTATTAGCACATAAAATGAAGCAACTTAAACAACTTACATTGAAAGAAATGTTTAATAAAGTAAACAAATAAATATTAAACTTTTTTTTTGTAAATTTTGATACCCTTTAGATCATAATTGCTCTTTATTTCATAAATTACAGTTTCATATTTTTAATTTTATAATTTCTGCATGCCATCTCACCAGATTTAAATTGATGATCTATAATCCGGAATCGCCGAAGTCCCGACGAGTTCGGACTAAAGACTTGTATTGTACTAGGAATTAACCAAAAATCAAGTTTTTGATTTATTATCACAGTAAAATTAGTATTTTTCTCGGTTTATCTTTACATTATGGTAACTTAACGATTTTTTGGCGAAAATTTGGCAACCAACTCTCCTACAGCAACCCTCTATTTTTTTTTCCCTGCCGCCATTTTGTCTTCACGAAGTAAACACATGTTTCTTTTCTTTTTATCTACTGAACACTTCTTCCAACAATCTACTAGCCGAATTACACTTATGCTAGAAAATTTTATCAAACAAAAACTGCTTAATCATGACAAATATTCACTGCAAAATTGGGAAAAAGTGCACAATACTATACTCCTTACGCGTTTTTCAAAATAACACATACACATAAACCATGTACACGCCGACTTATTTTTACTTTAAAAAACATCCCAGAATTGCACAAAAATGGCATTGCGCACACTCTTCACTATATCCATGTACACTGCTTTTTTCTCATAAATTAGAACAATTTCACAAAAATACACGACAATTTTCTCAATCTTTAAACCCGGTAAAAAGAACATATATGAAATTACCTGATCGCGAAAAAGTATTTACCCTTTACAAATATGAACATTTCCACATATAAAATAAATAAAATATCCAAAAACTTTTACCTCTAAATCATCTATTACATTATACACGTCACCAATGAATTCATACCGCAAGCATTACAAATACTTAGTATCAAATATTTAAATTATTTCCATACACGTTTATTTCAACTTATAGTATACCAAATTCCTACAAACATAAAATTCTCAAAATAACTATCATTTCATTAAAATATAATTAAATTCAAAAACACTACTTAAAATATAAATGAGCACATACATTAAATTAATAAAAATTACCTTACAATCCTAATTACTTTAAACTAAATCATTGCTAATAACAATTTTCCCAATAATACCAAATTCCTTTCCACCTTACATTTAGAACAAACAATGCATAAAAATAATATCCTCAAATAATTAAAAATACTAACTTACCTAATCTTCTTCAGAATCTTGATTACGTGGCGGATACACTTTTCTAATTCATTCAATAAAATTATTGAAAGATTTTTTGTGTGAATTTTTCCTCCATACTTCCTCCGCTAAATAAAAAGCAAACTTCTCTTTATCACAATGCCTAAATACCCATTTCGAATTTACTTTAGTTAGGGCCATGGGATCCAAAAATTAAACAACACTGTTTCACACAACACAGAATAAAGCTAAATACAAAATTTCCACATTTTTTCCCGATTTCCCCCCTTTTCTGATTTAAAGAACCGTAATTCGTCCATTAATATCACATGACATATCCCATGATCTCTCATTTCCCTCACGCAAAATAATGCGTAATCGGAACTGAGTACTGCTCACATTATTACCAAAGTCCCAGGTAGTAACCTTTATTGCCTCCAAAATGTCGCCAACTACCAGTTACCATATTGTAAAGATCAACCTTTTTCTCTACCAAGCAATGCTTTAAAGATATTGAGAGCAACTTCACTATAAGCTCACGAGAACAACTTGCTATAAGCTGTTACTTTAGAATGGACACATAAAAAGTCTATTTGTCCCACTGACCTTGTCTCATAACAATGGTAACGACAGCTGCAGCAGATGGTCAAATCCCTTCATTATTGTTTCTTTCCTGCTTTATTTCCATTTGACATGTTTCACTTCATTAAAAGCTTATAACTGAAGGCTGATCTTATGCACTTTATTTTGGATTAGCATATTTTGCTTCATTGAAAAAGCACAAATAAAGGTTGTCTTCATAAACAGTCTCAGATGAGATAAAGTAAATAAGTGCTATGTGGTGATGATGACACGTTACAATCATAAATCAGGGAGAATCAAAAAAGGCTTGAAATGCCTATTTTAAAATAACAGACTTCAGTGCTCTTCAAAGATCAACACCCTACATAGCTAAGTGTAACGAACTCTTAAAGGCAAGTCCGCTCTAGTACAAAATACAACAATGTGTGGCAAATGAAAAAAAAAAGTCAAGGATCATGTTGTTATGCTGGTATAAAAATGAAAAACTTCTGTGGATAGTGTATGGAAGTTCACTCAATCTAGGAAGAGATGAAGAAAAATTCTGATAACAAAATAGTTCTTTCCGAGACAACATCATTAACACTACTTGCAATCCATAAGAATCAAGATTACCAATATGCACTCCAAATATATAATTTATATAAGATATATTATTTAATAATCAAAACTCCAGAATTTTCAAATAATTCTGAAAAAGGTCAAGAAATTGTCACCTCCAAGTTAATGTACATTATTAAAAAATTTTCGCAGCTAGTACTTTATATGAGATTATTCCATTATGTATTACATAAAATTAAATGCATCAAATTAATTCTCGCACGTCTCACATTGCGCAAATTAATTCTTTTCTAATTAAATATCCTCCAAAAAGACTTGTTTAATACTTTTTATCATCACACAGAAATATATTTAAGGATTACTTCTATGCTTCAAAATTAAATTAATCACAAAGAATTTGAATATAAATTAGTGATATATATTTTTAAATGTGCCGATGATGCAACAAATATGACATCAAAAACATATTTTCTACAAATTTCTAGTCAAAGCTAACATTTATACAAAATCTAATATCCAGAAATTAAAATCTGAAATAGAATTTATATAAATAAATTTCCTATTTACGCAAACAAAACATAAATCCTCAGAAAAGTACAATACCTATTTCAGTATATCCGGCAAAATACATGCAACGAGTCAGAAGCACAGTTATGTAGAAACTATCAGACAAAAGAGAACACATACCATTGGATATCAGTTTTATTGCGGCTTAATCACAGTAGGTGGCGCGATCAAATTGTTTTGTTCAATATATATGTTGTGTTTCAATATTTATGTTTTGTTAAAAAAGAAAAATTTTAAAATTAGGGTAGAGAAACAGCTTTCCTGCATCAAAAAAATCAAAGCAAAAACTTCTGCAGAAAAATTAGACACAGGCTTGCAAGCAGCGATGTTACTGCACCAATATCTCAGTGGCTTAGAACACAGCAGAAAATTTTGGACTTTGAGATTGTGGGTACAGATCTCGGTCCAGCTCACTTTCTATTTACATCCTATTTTTGTTACCATCTCTTCTTACACCATGTACTGTCTGTCTACGGTAAGAACAGCTCCCGTCACGGTGTCTGGCGAGTGGCGGTCGCTATAGCAACAGGGCTAGTATATTTCAAATATGGACGAACCAAGGGTTGCTTTATTGTTATTTTGTTTTTGGCGACTGTTGGCTTAAGGGAAGTTTATCATTCGTCTTCTCGGCTTCATTCCAGCTGCACGCATCTTTTCTTAAGCCTTATATTATTACTATTAGCTCTTTTTATTCTCGTTGTTATATCATTTGTGCTAGCATTTGCTCAAATTCGCTTCTATTTAGCTTGATTTTCGTAGTGCTTTTTGTTAATCGCCAATTTTTTTAAAATGCCCTTCCAGTTTAAGAAAGGTCAACCTTTAAAGTCTCAGTCACGTCAAATCGTGTATAGTGTCGCAGAATTTTGCGCTTCTGAAGTTTTGGCGAACTCTTTAGTAGTTCCTCTTCCTTAAGTTTTGAAGAGAACATCTCAAGCTACTGGAGTATCGGAGTATACAATTAAAAAAATTAAGCGCGAAGTATTAACAATGAGTGAAAATAAACTTGTGAATACACCTGGAAAGAAATGTAAAAGCCCTGCTAATCATAAATGTGCGAAATTTGACGATTTTGACAAACGGCGTTATACGGCAGACAATACAAGACTTTTACATCAAAGAAAAGGAAAGCGCCATCTGTGCGGAAATTACTGCCTGCCTGTCTTGAGGCAAAGAATTAGACTTCCCGTGACAAAAAGACTCTTTGTGCAAAGTTTTGTGTTCAATGAATTTTCGCTGGAAGAAATGCGTTAACAGAAAAAAAAAAAAAAAAAAAAAAATCTTATCGAAAGACCTCACATTGTATTTTGGAGGAACAATTATTTACGCGAAATGAGAAAACTCAGAGCAAGTGAACGAACGCCACATCGTTTACATCGATGAAACATGGATTGACAGCAATTTAACTTTTAAGAAATTTTGGCAACATGATACGGTTTTGAGCGCACTGCCAGTTTCCCTTAGCAAGCCCTCCATGGAGGCATCCCTCCTCTTAGGCCTGGAGGCTTTCCGTAATCATATAAACCAACCCAAACCACTGGTAATTAAGGAAAAAGCAGTTTTGATTTTAATTCACCTTCGCTTCCTTCCGCCATTAAATTAACCAGCTTTTGGTTTAGTTTAAAGGTATGAGAAAAGAAGAAATGTTCGCAAAAAGTATTTATTGAGAGCATGGGTATGTAAAAAAATGCTTTTACTTTCAAGATGATTCTATATACATTTAATGATGAAATTTTTAGTCATTATTAAAGCACAAGCAATAAATTAACAGAAAATTTTGAAATAAAAACATAGCAGAACGTCATTTAAAGACTGAAAATTGCTTTGAATGTTCACGGTAGATCAGCTAGAGGGGAGAACTATAAAAATTAAATTTATTTTATATTTATGAAGTGCGTCTATACTATATAAAGAGAATAATAGGGCAATCAAGTAGATTTCTAAGATGTCATCTATGATTTGCAAGCAAACAAAATAACAAAAAAGAAGCAAAATAATAGCATGATTTTTTTTAAATGTCGAAAATTAAAATTTTTCTTCAAAAATAAACACGGATTTTTAAAATTTATTTCCCTACAAGTTTATTTTTTACTCATTGTACATCTAGAGGGATTGCAAATTTAGCGACTTGTACCTCACACGGCAAAATCAAAGACCGTTTCTTGACTGCAAAAGCTTTATCTACGCCATCGAATTTCATTTTCGGAAATTGGATGTCGGGGTCGACGCAAAGGGTCAACAAGCATTTTACTTGAAACTAAAACAAATGTGAATATCGCCAAATCATCTTTAAATGCGCCAAGGTGGCAAACTCAGAAGTAAGTCTTCAAGACACCCCTACGAAAAATGGGTTAGGGCTCGTTTCTACGGCAACAGACAGCTGCAGACAAACTGGCGAGAGCTGTTCTTACCATAGACAGACAGTAATGCTGATCACAGTAGTTTTTTATTGCCATCATATCATCGACATCTCTTGTGTTCTCAACTATGAACTTTTGAAATGTTATGCTAACAAAGGTTATGCGAGTGCTACCTGTTCCACTCAAAATGGGCTTTTGCCCAAGAGCCTGATTCAAGTGACTTTTACATCTAAGTCTGTCTATCGATACATTTACTTCTTTATTTTTTATCCTGAAAGTAAGACATTTTGTTGAACGATTAATAACCAAATACAGACCTTCATATGGGGGTAGAACTCTGTCAATGCGATGAAAAACGTGAGAAGCTGATTATAAATCTTTATATGCAAATAATTTAGGGATACCTTTCTGTTGTATTTCCTTCGGCCGAACTAATTAAATATACTTTTTAAATTTATGTATAAAAGTTCCAGGTGATGTATGACTTATTTTCTCTTCAAAGAATTCTCCAGAAAGTTAATGTTTTCTCCATATACCACTTCCGCTCTAATATAGTTAGTAACGTTGTCGATTGCCGTTCGTAAGCCTAAAAGAACCGTTGGTAATGATTCACTCCAAATATTATTATTATCTACCTTGCTGTTTAGGCTGTAGTGTGTGAAAGCTTAATTCTTGACAGGGTTTGAAATATTTCAGATGAAAATTGAGTTATTAGATGCAAGGGTATTCCAAATCTTGCTATCCAATTGCTATAGAAAGCTCTCGCTACCGTTTCTGCAGAGATATTTTAGAGCGGAATAGCTTCCATCCAAATTGTATATCTATCTATACATGTTAGATAGTAGGTGATACCATTTGATTGTGGTAATGGACCAACAAGATCAATGTGTACTTCTGGAAATCTTTCTGATGGCTTTTGATACTCGCCAATTATTAATTTCGAATGCTGGGATATTTTAGATTTCTGACATTGAATAGAAGATTTCTCCCAATGCTGAACATCTTTTTTTTATATTTGATGAAATAAATTTTGAAGAGATTAATATTATTGTTGATTTGATTCCGGGCTGGAATAATCCGTGAAATTGATGAAATGTTTTCATACGATAATTCTTCGGTATATAGGGTCTAACATGCTGTGTTGAAGTATCACACCATAATGTTTTTCCAGATGGAAGAAAAGTCAAATTTGTAGATTTTTGCAGTGTCCTGAATTCATCATCACGCTCTTGTTCTTCGGTAGTTTCGTCATAATTAAGTAAGGTGATTAAGTATTCTGGATAATGTATCCGACATTACGTTATTCTCCCCTGTAATGTACCTAATATCTCCTGTAAATTCTGAAATACGAGTTATATTGCACTTGCCTAATATTTCTTAGAGATGATCTATCTGGTTTTTGAGAAAATATATAGATTAATGGTTTGTGGTCGGTATACATTATGAATTTTCGTCCTTCTAAGAAATGTTTGAAATATTTCATAGAAAGATAAATTGCGAGAAGTTCACGAATACAATCATTTTGCTGTGTAAAGTTAAGTTTCTTTGAAAAAATCCAATTGGTTTCCAAATACTATGTTCAAATTTTTGAAAAACTGAGCCGATTCCGAAGCATCTGCGCACGATGAAAATGGCAAGTCTGGGTCGAGGGGAGAGAGAAGAGCAACATTTGCTATAGCTCATTTACATTTTCCAAATTTCTCAGTCATCCTCCAAGTTATCCGTTCAAGTTCATCCGTCCAAGTTCATCCGCCCAAGTTATTTTCTGATTATCTCCTTTCTTTGCACCTTTTAGGTAGTCGTGTAAAACAGCTTGAGTACTAGCTGCATTTTTCAAAAAAAGAGGGTAGAAGTTAACTATTTCGAGAAAGGTTAGTAATTGGTGAATAGTGTCAGGCAATTTAATATTAAGGATACCTTAACCTTGTCAGAAAGAGGTTTTTATCTCAGTTGTAATTACTCAGTTGTAATTAGAGGGTCTAAAAATTCCAATTCATTAACGTCAACAACAGATTTAGATATAATGTCTCAATCCACATTTTTGTAATCTATCAAGAACTAACTTTAAATGCTTTTCGTATTCCCCTTCATTATTTGACGCAATCAAAACATCATCCAATTATGGAAAAAAATTAGTCCTCTAAATACCTAATTAATAAATCTCTGAATGGATGCGTTACGCAACCCGAAACTCATGACGTTAAGTTCATATAGCCCGGAAGGGTTATAATGGCAGTTTTGGGCTTATCATTTTCATTAATAGGAATCTGAAAATATGCTTTATGCAAATCAATTTTAGAAAAGCTTAGAGTATTTTTTAAATGTTTTTGAAATCTTCGAATCGGGGTATAAAATAACGATCTGGTATTGTTTGTGCATTGAAACGTCGATAATCCTCGCATGGTCGGGAAGGAACCATTTTTCTTCGGAACCATATGAAGAGGATTGGCTCATTGTAATTTAGAAGCACGAATAATATCATTTTCTAACATATATTGAAAATTCCTGTTTACTATTTATAATCGCTTGATATCCATTTGTCTAGCTCCTCAACACCATGCTTAAATGTTGATACTGATAAATTCGGTTTTGCTAAATCTGGATATTGTTGACACAAACTAGGATATTTAGAATTTTAATCTAGAGTACTAATAGCATGATCAAAACACACTGTTGTTTTATTACTTCGAACAGATAGGTTAGTTATTTCATCAATTATATTCTTATTGTGCAGGTCAACTAGAAGTTTAAATTTATTTAGAAAATCAGCTCCTAAAATAGCTTTATCAACTTTAGCTAATATAAACAGAAATCGG